TGCCTAGTGTTATTATACTTTTGCGATAGATGAACCAGGCGGAAATCGTAATCTTAGGATAAATATTAATGCCCAGCATAAAACACGTAAAAGAGCCATAACAAAAATATAGTTTAAAATATTTATTTGAATGCTAACGTTTCGTCTTTAACTTAAGACATCTTCAGAGCAATGACATACAAAGCGGAAAACACAGAAATATGAATAAATTACAACTATTTACACGATATTATATTACAAAAGTAGAAAGAGGAATGGATCAGAGTAGAAGTAGAGGGACCGAGCTGCCCTGTAAGTTGAGAGAGGGTTTGAGTTTGTTAATGAGAAGACTTTCTCGAATGAGGAGTTCGTCTGGAGAAGAGCAACAACAAATAATCTTAAAATCATCAAGAGAGGCGGAGTGACCAGTGCTATCAAGATGGGAAAGGATACTAGACATGGTCGGATTGCTGCTTTTACTGCCTGTTAGAGGAGAAACACTCAAATGTTCAGAAACTCGTGTGTGCAAGTGACGAACCGTTTGGCCCAAATACGTTGCGGAACAGCAACGACACGTGAAGGAATACACAACACAAGATCTTAAAGCGTTAGGAATTTTGTCCTTAAAGGTGAAGAGTTGAGACAAACGTAAAGTTGGACGAAAAACGAATCTAATATTAAGATGGGGAAAGGCTGAGGAACAAAGACGGGAGATTTGGGTGCGAATTTGAAGAGAGTGAGCGGCAGTATATGGAAGAGAGAAATATAGAACTTTCTTAGGAGCAGAATGATATCAGCATTTGACCAATAAGGCGAAGGAACATATTATATATATTAGTGTAAAGTTTATTAGTGCAAAGTTACCACTGGAGGAAACAGAATAATCGAGCGAAGACCTGCAGTGTTTCATACAATCAAAGAGGACGCACAGTTAAATTCTTACATGCATGCGACTGAGACGATGTTATAATCTGACAAGCATGCATTGCAGGAATCGTACTCGGGGTCACAAGGACACATGTACTGACCGAATTATTACCTCAGTATGGTTGCATCCTACAGCATGAAACTCGCAAGTCGTCGGAGCCTCATCGCAATCGTCTCTCTCGTGTTTTTCAATGTCTTTTCTCAAGACATCTTCCTTACAGTATCTGCAAGTCACGGGTGCACCTTCACAGCTCGTATCAGTGTGTTTCTAGACAAAGAGTGAGCATAAATGAGCAAACTTGTTTGAAGCCAACTACAGAACACGACTTGACTTACTGGGTTTATCTGGGTTTATTCATTTTACAATGCCATATACTACAATAGTTTCATTAAAACATTCAAAGTTTCATTAAAAAACGTTTTTATCATTAACTAACGTAATTATTTGCGTAATTTTACCCCGGGCATTCATTTCCGACTCCCGGCCATTCTTTTGTGACAGCCGTGAACAGTATTGTCACTATTTTGTAATGCCATATATTACAAGAATCATTTAATCTTTCATCAAATAAGTGCGGATTTTAATAGTAACTATAAACGTAATTATTAACGTAATTTCCCCCGGGCATTCTTAATTGATCCCGACTCCCGGGCATTCAACGAATGTTCCCGGGCATTCTTTAGTAGGACCCATTTCGCCTCGTGTTTGTATGTATCGCAGTTCGGATCGAGAATCCATTTTTAGTAGCCAGCGTGCAGGCCCAAGGGAACCGATAGTGGGCCTGCACGCGGGCTACTAAAGTGGTGATAGTGGGCAATTTTGTACTTTCCGCGTTCGCCCACGAACGTGGCATTCTGATTGGCTGTTTGCTGTTGGATTCTATAATTAGGTCAGTGATTCATCACAAAGGCTCTCGATAAGCTCAAAATTCGAAAATTGATCACTTTTTTCGATTATAAATGGAACAAGAACAGACTGTTTATTGTTTACTTGAAGGAAGAGATGTTTTTGCCGTTATGCCAATGGGGATTGCTTGTCGTGAGGTGTTGGAATAGCAACATTACGACTGGGGTGAACTATAGTAACCTTTACTTGAGTTTCATTAATTTCAAACAGACTTGATACGTTATATGTTCCTCAAGAAAATTATCTTTTGGTTGATGTTGAGATGCAGTTGCATGTAAGCCTATTCGAAACACTTTGCGATTTACAAGGCTTCGCTGAGAGAGCGAAACAGAAGACGGTATTAAATTGCCGTTTGAAACGAAACGATCTGGACTCTGAACGCTCTCTTCTTTTGTAGAGTTCTTTACCAAATGAAATAACTGAAATAAATTTCGTACTTTCTGCCGCCAACAAGAATTGCACACACGATCTGATAAGTGAGGCAATTTATTTATAACAATGCCAATGGCGACAGCGAAGCACACATAATATAAATGCTAATGTGGTCGCACGACTTCCCTCACGATTTGAAGTTTAAGATTGGTTTTCTGTTGAAATTCGTCCTAATTTGCCTGTTCCGCGGGATTTTAGTTGAAAATGAGCACTTGCAAATTTGGCAATTACTGATTGCGTTGCTTGCTTTTTTGGAGTTAAAACGCTGCCATTTACACATTGTTTATGTTCTGAATAAACAGAGAAAACTCCGCAACATTTTAATGCGAGTTTGTTTGTTAATATTTGGGTGCTGTCATTGGTTCTTTTTTGACAATTGACGCGCGAATGGGACGTGTTATGAAAAGGGGCGTTTTACAAAATACCGGGCCTTGCTTGCAGGTCCACTATCAGTTCCCTTGGGCCTGCACGCGGGCTATTTTTAGCGACTTTTTCCATTTTTCATAGGTGGCCAAAAAACAGCAAAAAAGTAAGGCTATAGCCTTAACTTTTCGTCCATTTTTAGCGACTTTTCCCATTTTTCATAAATGACGCCAAACTTCGGCGTCAATTACAATTTTCTTTAAGAGGCAATTTTTTTCAATGTCACGTATTTGCAATGAAAAGTGTTCAAAACCTGAAATCTTTTTGGCGTTCCTCTCAAAATTACTTTGTTTTAGCTTTATTCTCTAGTTTATAGAGTTAGCTACCTTTTTAAATGCATCTGCCGGTTGAGAAACATAAAATAATAGTTAAAAATTGTCAATTAAAATACAATTATCAATGATGCTTTAAAATTGACGCCATATTTACAGCCATATAAACAAAACTTACTGAACTTCAGACATCATTTTCTCTCGATTTGGTCATATCTGACTTTTCGAGCGAATTTGCCATAATAGAAAGGTTCAGATTTTACTTCCTCTACCGCTTCACTACGTTTCACTAGCCTAGTATATGCATCTGATTGGTTAATCGGGTATATCAAACGCATCTGATTGGTTAAAAGTCCATTAATGGCAGCGGAAGTAAAATCGGAACCTCTACAATAAGAAAATAGTAAGTTGACCTTATAAACATTTATGTTTTTTAATGTTAATATATTCAATGAAACATCTTGGGCTGTACCAAGATCTGAACTCAATTGGCCAGTTTCTCGCGTGATTGAAAATTAAATCATAGTTTTCTATAAAATATTATTCTTACCTTCATCGAGGCAAAGGTGACATCTTGCCCACAATAATCACATTTCACATCCCGATATTCACATTCGCTTTTTAAATGTTCATCCATATCCGAGCGTTGTAACTTCATCTGGCATTGGGAATGGACGCATGTGATCAAAGCATGTTCACAAACTTGAGAATGACCCTAAATACGGAAAATTAAATTATTGCATTTCATTCGTATCTAGTTAAAGTACAATTCGGAAAAACCCTATCACTTTTGAATTAAAGACGGCACCGCTATATTCCAAGAGGGATACTACTTTCGGAGTGAAAATGAAAACACATTAGAGGGCATATGATACGAGTTTCTGAATGATCAATAATGATTGGCTAGATTTTTATTCCAGTCCCTTAAAAAGTCGTTGATATTTCGGGCAAACCCTGGCCAAAAATAGAAAAGATAGTTCAATAGAAGATAAACAATTACGGAATGTGACGTAAGAATATCAAACTAACATCAATAACTCGAAAATGGAAAAGATACTTATGGAAAAAGATGTGCTATAATTTTTGACGTTCTTTTCAATAAAATTATATTTGGAATAACGTGACATGTAAAATTCAACAAGGTACAATTAATTCCTTCCCTCCATCCAGGGCCTCCTCCCTCTCTTTCTCCTCTTTCCCTCAATCCCTCTCTCCCTCATTTCATTATTTTTTGCTCTCTTCTCCTCGTCCTTTCTCCTTCCCTCTGTAACTAGTTCCTTCCCTTGCCCCCCCCTTCCTTCCCTCTGTCTTAATCCTACCACCCACCAGCTCACCTCCAGCTGCTCGTAATCTCCATGCCAGGAACAACCAGGATTCGCGCAATGTAAAGAAATTGCATTAAGCTCACGTCTGGTACGAACATAGGGAAAAACCTGAAAGATGTAAAGCGTTTCATATATATATTTATTATATAGACAATGGTGTTTTACTGGAAACTAAACTAGTTTACCCACAGGGTAGTGAATGCTGCCTTGGTATAGCATTGTTCCCAAATCTTTAATAAGAGCAAGAAATATTTGTAATCACCATTCCCCAATTAACCAAAATTTTGATCTCAACAAGTCTAGACAAAATTCCATCATAGCATGAAAGAGCATCACAAAATTAGTAATATTCCAAAGTTTCGTTGCGAAATGTTGTAAAATGCGGATAATATAGCCTTGCGAAATTTGCAATTTTCAGTCATTTTAGATTACAAACGGGAAATGGTTACCAGTTTTCCAAAATTTTGATCTTAACTAGCCTAAACAAAAATTTCATCACAACTTGAAAGAGCATCACAAAATTAGTAATATTCCAAAGTTTCGTTGCAAAATGTTGTAAAATGCGGATAATATAGCGAAGTTTGTAATTTTCAGTGATTTTGTAATTTGTATTACGCACAGAAGTGGTAACCATCTCCCGTTTGTAATCTAAAATGACTGAAAATTGCAAAGTCTAGATTTGCTGAGTTCAAAATATTTTGGTTAATCGGGGAATGGTCCGTTGAAATCATCCATAATTTATACACTTGAATGTGCCTTATGATAGATAACTCGGCGCTCGAAGTTTCGTATCGAAAGAGGAACAGCCGAACAGGTACGATGGCTAACAAGAATGAGTGTACTTATCAACTTATCTAACGCGAGAAAAAGATCAAAATGGCAGGTATGGCTGTGATATCTAGTATATAAAATTGTATAGACAATTTGCCTACAAATACGTTGCTAGGTCAAAACGGCCCCGCTTCAATAATCACATGATTTAGACCAGGGGTTAAAGGGCAATGACAATGACATGCAGGTGACATTTAACATGTGCGAGTGTGCGTCTCATTGTTTATCAAAGAAGGCAAAAATATATACAAGACAACCTCACATGTGGAATCTGATCACTTACGCACTGCGTTGTGATGCAGTACAAGTACAAACTAATGACAAAGCATTTTTAAAGGCTTTAAATCCTAAAACATAATTAAATCATACGGCATATTCAAGATTTTAATATCGTATTTCAGCCGCGTTTATACTGCTTGGCACGCATTCGCTGCGTTATATTAATTGCTGCCGCAGCGAGCGAGCCTGAAGCGAGCGAGCAAGGCAGCAGATCCTAATATTGTTTTGTGGGTCGAAATCAAAATTTTATATTTGGCGCATTGCATGACGGTACCAGTGAATTTTAACCGTGGTGCAGCGCGGTCAGGCATAAGGCAAACAGGCAATGTGATCATGTTTCATCTTTGGTCTTCTTTTATGGAAAGCCATAGCTGGCTTAAAGTGATCAAACGGCATTTTGTTGGGTGCTTTTAGCATTATACGGCGGTGCTTTTGGCATTATACACGGTGCTTTCGCCATTATACGCGATGGTTCCAGTATTATACGCGGTGCTTTCACCATTTATATGCGCGATGCTTTTGCAATTATACGCAGTGGTTCGAGCACTATATGCGGTGCTTTTAATAATATACGCGATGCTAGCTTTCATTCAACATTATTTCCATATTCTTTCCATGACATGTATATGATTTAACGATTGCTTAAATTTGATATGTGCATGGTTGACAAAAGCTTTTTGCCTATGATCTGCAAGGACAATGACATGCTTTTCTGTGTATATACATGTAAATGAATAAAACGCAGCGAATGCGCCAGTATAAACGCGGCTGAAATACGATATTAAAATCTTAAATGTGCCGTATGATTTAATTATGTTTTAGGATTTACAAATGCTGTGTCATTTGTATTTATACTTGTACTGCATCACAAGGCAGTACGTACGGTAAGTGAAAAAACTCCACATGTGAGATTGTCTTGCATATATTTTTGCTTTCTTTGATAAACACTATTAAACACGCAAATTTTAATTAGTGAGATAAAACGCGGATACGGACGGACGGATGAATGACGGACGGACCGGACGAATGACATATATATGTCGTTATATAGTCTGCGCCCAGCCGCGCAGGGCAGTTAGTGCCTTACGTCTTCGCTGGTTGTTATACTTTAAAATAATTTTGTATGTACCGAGAAATCAATATTCCGAGTATATGAATATATAAACTGGGATGTCACACTGATAGCTTGTTTACATTTCCTGGAGCATCATGAAATCTTATGTTTAACCACGGTGGTTTAACCCATTAGCTGGCAATGCGCCCTTCCCTTGTCAAGCGCCAGATGATTTTACTCGTCAGTGGTATAGGGTACTGCCAGTAAATGGGTTAACAAACGTATCTGCCAATGGCTCTTGTTAATTCATCAGCACAGTAATGATCCCTACTTTAGTATTTACCCTGTCCAACGCCAAACGATTTTTAATACTCAGTCAGTGGTAGGGTACTGTCAATAAATGGGTTAACAAGGATAACAATAATTAGCCTGCATGGCAGGCGGTATTTCCCGGGCTTGCCCAATTTTAGGAACCGCCTGCCAAGCAGGCTAAACAATAATAGGATGTTTCTGAAGGATTCGTTCAACACCCTGTAGTTTGTCTTTTGCTGTCAAAGGCAGCATTACTGCCCTGTGGGTAACCTAGTTATAGCTTATAGCCCACCTTGCCTTTAACATTGATCCTATATATAATGAATTAACATAACTAACTTGATTATGTTGCTAGTCAAGTATGGGACCTATGGGTCTTCTAGATCCTAGAGTAGCACAATTAATATAAAGTCTCCGTAAGGCGGTAATATTAAAGACTGTTCTTATTTATGCATGACCTTTGACTATTAAGTGTAAGTGGCCAAAAATTGTGCCTACAGTATTAATCAACTTATTCCACTATCCAGGTTGCATCACTTTTGATTGCAAAACACCCGGGTTTATTATACATGGATTTGCTAGCAAAATAGCAGCAATTGATGAACTTGGTGTTATACTAAGATTTACTAAATGTGTAAAGAAA